TTTAGGGGGGTCTCCAAGGCAGGAAAAGCCCGCGAAAAGCCCGCGAAAGGGGGGTTCGGAAATGTTGGCAGTCCTCAGATAGGGGGTGCTTTCAAAAAGAGGGTACGAGCATATGCGTACCCTAAATAACACTGAGTGGGGGGGCCGGGGGGCGTGGTAGCCATTCTAGCATTGCATCTACACCCGACGGCGCGGTGGCCTGTACTTATAGCGCGCGAACACATCACACCCAATGGCATACACCCGGTACCCTGCAACACAGTGGAACATTCCAAGAAATTTAAAAATTATCTACAAAATGGACCTCTTGAATCATCTGAGAAGTAACTTGCTCTATTCTGATGACTTCAATGAATGTCAAGATAACAATGGCTGCTTTTCCATCCAAAAATAAAACTAGTTTGAAATTAGAAATAGTCAATTTCTCGATAATTTCACAAAATATATTTGCCGCCGCATTCAATATGACGTCATTGACAGCTGATTGGCTAGTTTGGTACGACGTCGAACGAGCTATAATTATGTTTGTGCTGCAGTGATCGAGCGAGCGAAAATGAGACAATCGGAGCAATGTGTAAAACGGGCTTTTGTGTACTACGAGCCGGACTTTGGTGCGTGAATAGTACCCCTTAATTTACCGGACATTTTGGCAACAATTATGGTATCCGGCCCTCCGATCCACGGAGTGGGAGGGGGGGGCCACTTTTTCTCTCTCACGTCCCAAGACGAAAATCCAATTGAAACCAATTGAACACCAATTGAAATTTTAATTGGTTTCAATTGGTTTCAATTGGTTTCAATTGGTTTCAATTGGTCTCAATAGGTTTTAACAGGTTTCAATGGGACTTCAGATGTTTTCAATTGGTCCAGATTGGCCCCATTGGACAAATTGGCCCCATTGGCCCCATTGGCCTAGGCCCCATTAGACTTTAATGGGTCCCCAATTGGTTTCAATTGGTCCGGATTGGCCCCATTGGACAAATTGGCCCCATTGGCCTAGGCCCCATTAGACTTTAATGGGTCCCCAATTGGTTTCAATTGGTCCGGATTGGCCCCTTTGGACAAATTTGACCCATTGGCCTAGACGCTGCCAGGTAAAAATGTCAGAGGAAAAAATGTCAGAGGAAAAAATGTCAGAGGTAAAAATGTCAGAGGTAAAAATGTCAGAGGAAAAAATGTCAGAGGTAAAAATGTCAGAGGTAAAAATGTCAGAGGTAAAAATGTCAGAGGAAAAAATGTCAGAGGTAAAAATGTCAGAGGTAAAAATGTCAGAGGTAAAAATGTCAGGTACAATAAAAATTGTAGGGAGAAAAATTGGTGCCATCATAATATCTCGGCACTTTATCACACAAAATGTCAAGATGTAAGCTACTAGGCTAGTCTATTATATTTTATAAATGACTGTGTATTGTACTTCGTACATGTCCTGAGGATAATACAATGTGGAAAATAAATTTGAAACTTATATTTTGTGATTGCAGGTTTGCATATATTAATTTCTATCATTTTTCGATATTTTATATTGGTTGATGTTTTAATGTTTATTTGGTTTTGAGGAAGAAGGCGTAAGTACATAGAATATTAAGATTGAATGAGATACAACAGGGAAGCAGTTATAAAGATCGCACAGAAATTCCACAAATTCAGTAATTAGACCCATCTTTATGTCCATCCCAGCAAAGACTGTTATGACTGTTCTGCAAAATTCATGATGCATTTTGTTTAATTTGTAGACTTGTTCGAATATGTACCTGCTGGAAACTGTCGTATACAGTGTATGCCAGCACACCTCGTATAAATCCTGCACCAAATATCCTTCAAACAATATTATCATGTATGTGGCTGCCGCCAGAATTTGTCATTAGTATTTTTAATTTTTGTTCATAGCACCACCTATTTTACATGTGCATCGCCCTTTAAGTAATTTCTCTTTGTTACTTAAGAAAGATTTACAGCGCATGCCTAGCGCGGGTCAATGTCAATAAAAGGCCTACAAACACATTTTTAGTACGCACGAGAAAATAGTTCCATACATTCAAGCATAAGAAATAAGTTATTATCATTAATTATGTACTGAAATGTAAAGTAATGTTCATTGAAATGCGAATAACATTAGTAAATTCTGTCAAAACTAAATCGTTGGTCTTTTTAAGTAAAATTCCAGTTGGACAAATTATTTGATATCCGTGTGCCGATAAGTTCGGTGAACGCGTTGACCCTTGGCTTTTCTGAATTACGACCTGGCCCAAGCAATACGTGTTTTGTGGGGTCTTCAAGAAACGCCAAAGTTTCAAGGTATATTTTGCTGCCCAAGGATGGAAAAGTCCTGCCAACGAGGTATGTTATGGCAGAAATGTATTTAGAACAATTTCATATTACTTACATGATCTATCAGTTTGTAATTTTGATACATTATAAGTGTTTTTTCATGTTGTGATTAGTAGCGTTCAGTGAGCTAGTTTTCCACACACGTGAGATTGTTTACATCTAACGCTAAATTATGGAAAGCCATTTGAATATTTCATGTTTGAGTAATTATTCATGAATAAGAATTCTCTGTAAATCAGTAGCATATAAAACTTGCTTTTATATTCATAGTCTTAACTAGTATGCTCTTAATGCATGTTTATCAAATTTCTCGTAAGAGACTTGTAGCTCATATCATAAATGTTTTATCATGAACCCTTTTTATACTCATTTTGACAAATCATATTTGTATGAACAACTCTCGTTAAGAACATCTATCTAGTTTATCAACTCTTTAAATTGACAAGTAATCTGTATATTTACTTGTGTACATATATTTGTATCTTTCGCACGGTATTTATTATTCTGTGCTATTTTATACTTTTTATGTTCACAATTTTCACGGCACTGTTCATCACTGTTACTTTGTTTTGACAATCGTTAAGTCAAATAAAGACATTCGTCACCAGAAAATGAACATCCGTTTCAACGTTGAGTTATTTTGATCCTGCGGCAGCAACAGTGAAAACTCGAATGGACATGACACCTGAGAAATCCATAATTGGATCAACTACTCAAGCCAAATATTTGATGTGATGTCTGGAACTGCATTCGTCCTCACCTGGCCACTAAGGAAGCTGACGAGGAACTCGGCAAGACACGGGCAATCAAACGGCTTGGAGGTTGACCATCGCTCAAGGATGTCAGGTTCATTTTCATCAAAATAATTGAAGATTGAAATCAAAGAAAGAACACTAGAATATTTATATGCGATTGAAATTTCTCGTTTGGAAACTTAAGCAATAAACAAGCTAAAGATTGATTTAGGCTTGCATATCAACTTCTCGAGAGAATTTCAGATTTAAAACCTTTAAGATCTCTAACAGAGTCTTGGTTCGTATCCCAGAATTGTAACAGCTATTTATTCTGATTTGTTTGGATAACGTAATTTAAAACAACATAAGACTTGATTCCCTTATGATGTTTGGGATTTAAATTTTCAGCTAAGATTATAATTTTCTTAAAATACTTATCTAACGAGTGGAGATAAGTTTACAGAATTTGTTATGTGTATGTAACATCTCATCAAGAATAACCTTGTGTGTGCACTTATAGATGATTTTGAGACAAAATAACATGATCAAGTTCATTTGAAAGGATATTTTTTTATTAAGATTGGAAAAATTTCTAAACTAAAAGGAAACTGATTACCGATAGTGTTTTCCTTTAAAGGTAATACAAAGTTTTGGGAAATTTTGAAAATTGGGTGGATAGTGAATCTTTACAATTTTGATATATTTGGATGCCCCTGTGAATGTATTATAAGCACTAAAAAAATTAACCCCTAAAACACTTCTGTTTTCGAGAAAAATTGAATATAAAAATTTACCGGTGCTCCCGGTAAATTTTGATAAATTTCAAATAGCTCCTACGGCCGTACAATGGTAGCTGCGACCATGAAAATCTCAGGATATGTAGTTGTGATATATAATTTCCAAACGGGAATAGCTAATCGGTCGATTTTAGTCAGGAAACATTGTTTCATAGCTAAATTGATATCTTGACCTTGAGAGGGAGCTATACAACATAAAGAGTTTATTATTTATAATTTCATAACTTTAGACTCGATTTCAACCGGGACAACGATCAATGAATATTGTAGGAACGCATATGCTTCCAATATGTTAATTTGAACCAAATTCATGACCCCATACCAAAACTTTGTAATACCTTTAAGAACAAGGGAACAAAAGGTCATAATAATTTGAAATTGATTAGAAATCGGGTTACCTTGTTGATATTGGAATTGATTTGGATTCATGATAATATCATTAATTCTATGCTACGTTTGATATTTTTATTATTTCAAAGCTTGAATGTATCGAATTGTATGTCCTGCGTAGCGCTGTGTTTTTATCGTGCCCGAATTGAGATTTGGGTTAAAGCAGTTATCTTTGCTATTTGTTATCAGCTACTGCCATTTGCTGTTACCAGCCCACTCCCACACGCCCATTTCTATTTCACTTCCAAACTTTGATTCAAATTCAAACTTCAAATTTCGGTCAAGATTATTTAAATTTGATCTCAAATACTGATTTTCTCGTTGGTTTATTTACCTCAAAAATATATCGTTCAATATGGAAGGGCAACAACCAACTGAAAATAACTTGACTACTGACTCGACTAACTTACCTCCTGAAACACTTCGCCGCTCCACTCGTCCTGTCAAATTGACAGAGAAAGCATTGCAGAATAAAGAAGACGACCTTCAAGGTAAGTTTTTTGTTGAACATATAGATTTGCATTCGATCATACAATCTACTCGAAATAGCTTATTGTCTCAAAACATTGATGGTGATAGCTTAGCAGTGAATAAGCTTGACATTACTGCTAGGCTCAATTCTTTGAAGGAGATATTTGTTGAGCTAAAAAGGCTCAATGAAGACTCCATTGATGATGAGGTTATTGAGGCAATGGATGAATCTTCTATTTCTGTTCGTAATATCTTATCGGATATTGATAAGGTATCCAACATGTCTTCTTCTAGACAACCATCAATTCGGTTGGCGCACTCAACACAATCACGACTCTCGAGGACATCTTCCAGATCGTCACGACGAGTTGCAGTCGCAGCAGAAGCCGCTGCATTACAAGAAGAGCTTACAGCCCAGAAGCTTCAAAATGAACGGGAAAAGGAGCTCGAAAGAATGGAACTTGAGGAAGAAATGAGGAGGAAGCAAGTAGTTTTCAAAATGTCCGAGCTGAAAAGACAACTAGAAGAGGAAAGACTACAAGGCAAGCTCAAGGCACAAGAAGCAATTATGAGAGTCTACGATGAAGAAGATGGAACCAGCACAGTCTCTTCTTCATCCTCGCGTGGAGGTAAAACTGTTGTCAAAAAGATCGAAGATCAGCCAAATCCAACTGATGTGATCCCAAGGGCATCTCCCAAGTTAGAAAGCAAATTGATTGATGAACCAGCCTCCATCGTGTCACAGCAAGCGCAAGTAGTGCTTGATCCCCAAGCTCCGATGTTCCAGCCAAGATCACCAGTTTTAGATCTCGCTGATGCCTTGGCTCAGAGTCGTCTACCCGTTCCGGAGCCGCCAATATTCACTGGAGACCCACTCCAATATCCAGATTGGGTGTCGGCTTTCACTACTCTGGTAGAGCGAAGAGGCATCCCTCCTGGTGAAAAAATTCACTACCTTCGAAGGTATCTTGGTGGTCCAGCAAAGGAGGCAGTCAGTGGCTACTTTCTCCTGAGGTCAGAAAATGCATTTGAGCAAGCAAAGAGCACCCTTCAAAAGAGGTTTGGCAATCCATTTGCTATTGCTGAAGCCTTTCGGACAAAGTTGGATGTGTGGCCCAAGATAACCAGCAAGGATCACAATGGGCTGCAGCGGTTTGCAGACTTCCTTCAACAGTGTCTGGTAGCCAAGGCTGAGATTGTCGATCTCAACATTCTGGATGATATACGAGAGATCAACCGAATGGTTGCTCGACTACCAGATCATATCGTCCATAGATGGAATCGCTCGGTGGCACAGACAAAAAGGGAGCGACTTTGTTATCCTAGGTTTGCTGACTTCGTTTCTTTCATTGGGAACGAAGCAGACATTGCTAATGATCCTCTGCTCACTGTGGATGTTGGCAAGACTAGAGAGAGAAAACAGGAAACCGCAGTCTCAAAACGGGTAACCCTCTCTACGTCTGGCTCAACTTCACAGAAGCAATGTCTGTTGTGCAAGAGACAAAATCATTCCCTGAATGACTGTCGGGAATTCCTTCGGAAAGACATGTCCCAGAGAAAGGATTTCATCAAAAATGAAAGACTTTGCTATGGCTGTCTTGAAAAAGGCCATATGTTTAAATATTGCCAAAGCAGACTGGTCTGCAAGAAGTGCAGTAAAAGGCATCCAAGCTGCCTTCATGAGGACCAAAGAGATTCGAACAAGGCCAACTTGGCATCAAGCCAACCGAAGGAAGCTCAAACCGCATCGACCTCAAATCCTCAAGCTGTAACGCACAAAGTACAAGGCGATGAACGTAGTGACCTTACATCAATGATTGTGCCTGTGTACCTTTCTAGTACAGAGAGGCCTGACAAGGAGGTTCTAGTGTATGCACTACTAGACTCCATGTCAAACACCACCTTCCTTTCCGAAGATGTCGGCCAAGACCTGGATGTACAATCCCAGCCTGCCACATTGTCGTTGACAACTTTGACAGATGAGATATCGATCTCAACCTTCAAGTATGACAATCTTCGTGTCAGAGGTTTTTATTCGTTGGAGAAAATTTGTCTACCCTCCACATTTACTAGGCAGTCTATCCCTCTGGACGACAGTCATATCCCGACTCCAGAAACTGCCTCCAAGTGGCCTCATCTCGTGTGTGTGCAGGATATGATAGCGCCAAAACAAGACTGTCCTGTCGGTCTTCTGATTGGCTACAATTGTGCACAGGCCCTTGCTCCTCTGACGTCAGTCCGAGGCCAAAATGGTGAGCCGTATGCTGTCCAAACAGACCTTGGTTGGAGTATTGTTGGAGGTCAGTCTGACTTGTCCAACAGCTTCGATTCGTTTGGCCACACATACAGGACAGTCAGCATGAAGGTAGAGGCCCCGATCGATATCAAGAAGGTGACATTCGCTTACCAGTCTCCCTTAAAGGAAGCGACTGCATCGGATTTCCTTCAGCTCATGGAAAGGGACTTCCAAGAAGCTGAACAAGCTGATGCAATGTCACAAAATGACAAAAAATTCATTCAAGTTGTCACCGAAGGTTTACGCCAGAGAGAGGATGGGTTCTATGAGATGCCTCTTCCATTCAAGAAAGGACCGCCATCTCTTCCGAACAATCGACAGGCTGCTTTGGGTCGATTAGCAGGTCTCAAGAAACAGTTCCTGAAGAAACCTGAATATCACAGTCACTACAAGGTATTCATGAAGGAGATCTTGGCACGCGGTGATGCAGAGATGGTCGGTGATAGTAGTGACAAAGGCTTGTGGTATATTCCTCACCATGGGGTATATCACCCTAAGAAGCCTGGCAAGGTCAGGGTTGTATTCGATTGTAGCGCCAGGTATCTTGGGACAAGCCTCAATGACCATCTCCTGCAAGGCCCTGACTTGATTAATCCTCTCATCGGTGTCCTGTTGAGATTTCGCCAAGGTCCTGTGGCATTCATGTGCGATGTGGAGAAGATGTACCACCAGTTTAAGGTTGCAGATCCACATCAAAACTATCTGCGTTTCTTGTGGTGGGAGGATGGGGATCTCTCCAAGACCCCAGTAGATCATAGGATGAAGGTCCACCTCTTTGGGGCAACCTCATCTCCGGGCTGTGCCAACTTTGGCTTAAAACAGATTGCGGAGGACCACAAGAAACTCGGTGACCGTGCAGCCAACTTCCTCAAGAGGAACTTTTATGTCGATGATGGCCTAAAAAGCATGTCTTCTGAACAGGAAGCAGCTGTGCTAATCAAGGACGCAACTCAAATGTGTGCTAAAGGCAATCTACGTCTGCACAAATTTGTGTGCAATAGCAAGGACGTAACCAGCACCATTCCAAAATCGGAACGTGCCACTGTCACGAATGCAAGTGTTCAGCTAGGTGAACAAACCTCACCAATCGAAAGAGCTCTTGGGCTTCAGTGGTGCGTCAGTTCTGATGAGTTCTGCTTCCGACTTACTCTGAAGGATCAACCCCTCACTCGACGAGGTATTCTAGCTACAGTTGCGTCTGTATATGATCCCCTTGGTCTCATTGCACCAGTTGTCCTTGCTGGCAGAATGATTCTGCAGGAAATGTGCAAACAAAAGATGGATTGGGATCATCCCGTTCCTGACTATCTTCGGACAAGATGGGAAATATGGAGACAGGAGATCCTGAAGCTAGAAACTGCAAAGATTCCTCGCTGCTTCCAGCCCAAAGATTTCGGAGAGGCTGAGGAAGTGGAATTGCACCACTTCTCAGATGCCTCATTATCTGGATATGGACAATGTTCATATGTCAGATTACGAAATCAAAGGGGACAAGTCCACTGCTCTCTTGCCATGGCAAAGGCGAGAGTAGCACCGCTCAAGCAGTCTACCGTCCCCAGACTGGAGCTTCAGGCAGCAACCTTATCTGCCAAGGTTGCAAAAATACTGAATAAGGAGCTAGACTACAGCTCAGTCAAGAATATCTTCTGGACCGACTCCAAGGTTGTTCTGGGTTACCTGTACAACCAGTCTAAGCGCTTCCACATGTTCGTTGCGAACAGAGTGGATTGTATTCTGAGAACCACAAGTTGTAGTCAGTGGAATTATGTTACTAGCGGTGATAATCCAGCTGACTACGCATCACGTGGACTGACAACAGAGGAACTTCTTTCGTCAAACTGGTTAGGAGGACCAGACTTCCTTTGGGAAAGTGAAGTTGCTAAGCAAGATGTCACACTAGAGGTTTCTCCTGACGACGTTGATCGACAGTACATACAGTAATGTCAAAGACCAAGATTTCAACCTTTACGTCATTTGAAGATAGGTTGAACCGCTTCGCCATGTTGGACAGCGCTATTAGAGCGGTAGCTGTACTAGTGAGGTGTTGTTACAGGCGCAAGGGACATGACATAGATGATGTTGAGATCAAAAGAGTCGCTGAGAGAAATCTCCTGCATGCTGTCCAGAAAGAAGCCTTCTGTGATGAAAGACAGCAAATCAAATCTGACAAACATGCTGTGTCAAAATCTAGCCGCCTGAGTCAATTAGATCCATTTCTTGACAAACAAGACCTCCTACGGGTGGGAGGACGCATGAAGAGGTCTGAAATGGTGTATGGAGTTAAGCACCCTATTATCCTTCCGAAGGGTAGTAGACTTTCCATGCTTGTCGCACTTCACTATCATGCGAAGATTTCTCACCAAGGTAGAAATATGACCATCAACGCAATCAGATCAAGTGGATACTGGATCATCGGTTGCAGAAGCATTGTCTCATCTCTGATCGGCACATGCACCCATTGCATTAGACTAAGAGGCAAGTTGGGTGGACAGAAGATGGCTGACCTTCCATGTGAACGACTTGAGCCATCGCCCCCTTTCACTTATTGCGGTCTGGACTGTTTTGGTCCATTTGTAATCAAAGAAGGGCGCAAAGAGCTCAAGCGCTATGGCCTCATCCTGACATGCATGGCAATGAGAGCCATTCATGTGGAAGTATTGGATGACATGTCATCCGATGCATTCATCAACGGACTGAGATGTTTCATTGCTATTCGAGGAAACGTAAGGCGGATTCAGTGTGACCAGGGCTCCAATTTTGTTGGAGCCAAGCATGAACTGAAACAAGCTCTCCGTGAGATGGATGCGGACCATGTCGCCCGCAATCTTCTGGAGCAGAACTGTGAGTTCAAAATGAATCCTCCTTCCTCTAGCCATATGGGAGGTGTATGGGAGAGACAAATCAGAAATGTGCGCAATGTTCTCAATGGATTATTGGAACAGTGCGGAACGCAGTTGAATGTCTCCTCTCTACGGACATTTCTCTATGAGGCCATGGCTATCGTAAACAGCCGTCCATTGAGTGTGGATAACCTGGAAAGTCCTGATGGTCCTCTTCCGTTGACTCCCAATCATGTTCTGACCATGAAATCCGGTCTTATACTGCCTCCACCTGGAAGCTTTGAAAGGGAGGACATCTATCTCCGCAAAAGATGGCGTCGAGTCCAATACTTGACACAGTTGTTCTGGACACGATGGCAGAAGGAGTACCTGCACACGCTTCAACCAAGAAAAACTTGGACTGAAAAGAAGACCAATGTGCACGTAGACGACATAGTACTCTTGAAAGATGAAGCCATTTGTCGGACAGATTGGAGAGTTGCGAGAGTCATGGAAACAATGTCCAGTGATGATGGTCTAGTCCGGAAGGTGCGACTTCTCATGGCGACCCCAGACTTGGACAAAAAAGGTAAGCCAGTAAATAAGAGGACAACTCTTGAAAGGCCAGTACACAAACTGGTAGTTTTGATCCGCAGCACCGACAAGGCGATTGAAGACTAAGCTTGACTTTAATAGCTGACATTCACTTTTACCCAGACAAATGGCTTTGACTAACCTGGACTTTCATCCTGCCCTGACATTCTAAGAAATATTTTCTCAATTTGGGGAAGACCATTTGTATTTATAAATTTTGCAAGTCGGTCAATTCCTTGTTTTGTTTCAAATAGATAGTTTTGTTGTTTGAAAAATCAGTTAGATGATTTGGGTGGGAGTGTGGCTGCCGCCAGAATTTGTCATTAGTATTTTTAATTTTTGTTCATAGCACCACCTATTTTACATGTGCATCGCCCTTTAAGTAATTTCTCTTTGTTACTTAAGAAAGATTTACAGCGCATGCCTAGCGCGGGTCAATGTCAATAAAAGGCCTACAAACACATTTTTAGTACGCACGAGAAAATAGTTCCATACATTCAAGCATAAGAAATAAGTTATTATCATTAATTATGTACTGAAATGTAAAGTAATGTTCATTGAAATGCGAATAACATTAGTAAATTCTGTCAAAACTAAATCGTTGGTCTTTTTAAGTAAAATTCCAGTTGGACAAATTATTTGATATCCGTGTGCCGATAAGTTCGGTGAACGCGTTGACCCTTGGCTTTTCTGAATTACGACCTGGCCCAAGCAATACGTGTTTTGTGGGGTCTTCAAGAAACGCCAAAGTTTCAAGGTATATTTTGCTGCCCAAGGATGGAAAAGTCCTGCCAACGAGGTATGTTATGGCAGAAATGTATTTAGAACAATTTCATATTACTTACATGATCTATCAGTTTGTAATTTTGATACATTATAAGTGTTTTTTCATGTTGTGATTAGTAGCGTTCAGTGAGCTAGTTTTCCACACACGTGAGATTGTTTACATCTAACGCTAAATTATGGAAAGCCATTTGAATATTTCATGTTTGAGTAATTATTCATGAATAAGAATTCTCTGTAAATCAGTAGCATATAAAACTTGCTTTTATATTCATAGTCTTAACTAGTATGCTCTTAATGCATGTGTAACCCCCATAAAAATGGCAGTTACTAAAGTCATATTTTGTTATTTATTCTTTTTCCTATCTCTATCTCTCTCTCTCTCTCTCTTTCTCTCTCTTGTCTCTCTCTCTCTCTCTCACTCTTTGTATCCATTCATTTCATCTCATACTTCTAAGAAACAAACTCTGCTTTGTGCTCCTTATGCAGTTTAGTGCAATATAGGTTTGTTCTCACCCAGATTATTTTCTTCTCCCAGTTTAAGAACTATTGCTGGTAGATAGCTTATTTGCTAGAGCTTTGACCATCAATAAAACTGGACACAGTGTTTGGGATTATATTGTCTCCCACAGAATTCGGTGCCCTTTCCCCTTTGTCTATTCCCTTTAATAGGACCCTCTTTACTTAAGTGGTGTTTGCAGGTAGATTGTGTCCCTTCAGGATGTTGCTACTGTTAATCTCTGTATTCAGGAGAAGTATAGTTTTAAGTGGTTGTACTAAGAAAAGACGAGCTTTTAGACCATGCTGTAGAGAGCTGGCTTGGAGTATTGGGTTTGAGACAAAGGATGGGTCATTTTAGTTAAGGATGCAAGCTTGGTCCTATCACATGATGTTAGGTAACCAATAAGAAGTCTAGTTGGAAGGAAGGGTAATGTGGGTCTGGAGAGTTTAATAAAACTTTGAAACTTTAAGTTTCCAGCTCATTCTCTGCCCAGCTGCCATTGCTTCGAACACTGCCCTGTATATATTCAATCTCCATGTTGGAGCATGTGCTACTAAATATATCTGTAGCCTCTACCTGATTTTCTTCTTCAATATATATATATATACAAAACGTATATATCAACTTTACCTTCTTCAAGTTTCTCTAAGTTTCGAGAGAGTTTCCTGTATTATATTTGATTGGGCATTCCATCCAACTTCAACCTTTATGAGTTGCATGGTTATCATCCCAGTTCCTGATTTTATGTTGCAAGCAAGTGTTGGCTCTTTTACTAGGTAAGAACACTATATTTTGCTATGTATGTTTTCATTACTCTGTTGTATGAAGTGTGTGTATATCATGATGATATCTATATTTTGCTTGTATGACTCTGAGTGTAGTTTGAGACTGTAGCATACATTCTATAACTTTTTAATTCAGATGTGTGTTATACAAGATTGATTCTTTCTGCTGATCAAACAATTCAGTTAAATGAGAAGAAAAGATTATTATGGGAGATCATTTTGCAGTTATTATACTGCATAGCATGCGAGCCCTAAAATAGCCCATGCTGAAAGATAATTGGCTTTTATTTAGGGTAATGGCAACTCGTGCTAGAGGTCATTGAACTCTCACTAAATTTGGTGGTTTGAGATACTTGGTTGTAGATAAGATTTACTAACCTTATCTACTGATTTACTGGTAATGTGTATTTGCTGTTCATTATGGTTATGCGCAGCGTGGAGCATTATTATGCATATTCAATTGCTGGACTTTTCCATTAATTGTAAAAGTCAAATGTTATTTTGGCAAATTCTAAATCAAGCGATATGGTCAGGTCAATCAGATAGATCGAGCTATCTATCTGTGGCATCCCTATCGCATTCATTATAGCTCATAATGATATGAATGAAAACTCTACTGAACAGTTGGTGCATTATTGTGTATACGTATTTTATTTATATTTACTAACGTGGTATAAGTACTATTTTGAAAAGGATTGTATCATGTTAATCATGAATTAAACTAAGTTATAAGTATAACTGAGTAAATTAAGTTGACAGAATCGCATTGATTCTTCCAAAGTTAATTAGATAAATCAAGAGGCAAACTCTCATTCTTTTCTTAGTTTAATCTATTGAGGGACGAGCTTGTTATATATATATATATATATATATTTATTTATCTTTCCCTCTCTTAAGGAATGTTTTATTAGAAGAGTTCTGTTTATTATGCTCTTTTACTAGGGTCTTTTAATTGATGAATCTCATCGAGCTTCAAGCTATCGTTCGACCTGTTCTTGTTTTCTGCGTGCTGCGACGTCCTCTTCGACGACACAGAGACGCCGGATATTGATCGACCGCGTATCGCGAGCGAGCTTATGAACATTTAATAATTTGGACATAACAGCTGTTCTAGTTATAAGTTATAATACCTTATAATGTTATAGATGTAAGATGTGGAAGTTTTGTTTATTTCAATGTTTACTTGATTTGCAGTTGTTATTGACAACGAGCTAATAAAGGCATTGCCAGGTTATTTTGTTAAAACGTAACCTCAAGTGTGATTTCTTTATTTATGGACCTGGGAAATTGTGACATTCGGGTTACATAAATTGGGGGCTTGTCCGGGAGGCTAAATTTGCATATATGCATAATTAATATTACTTATTTGATAGATAATTTATAATTACCTCGTAATTAATTAATATTCTCCGCTTATTAAGTTTTAATTGCTAGTATAAGCAATTAGTATTATACATTGTTGAAGGCATTGTAATTGTCTTCGTCATTATAGTTAAGAGTTTAAGAGCCAACACTTGCACAAGTTAGTAGAAGCAATGGCAGCGGACAGTTTGAAAGAATTTGGGCAGGAGTGGTGCAAGGAGGAGGGAATAACGGCAGATAATGCCCTCCTACTTGTGACACCAACAGTGGCAATGCCTGATGAGGTATTTGCCCTGGCAATTTCGGATCGATTTCCCACCTTAAGTGGGATACTCAGAAAGAATGAGCCAACTAATAACAAAACTTTGATACTCTGTATGTTTGAGGGAGCTACTCCCATCGTAGGTGTGGGGAGGGAAATACATATATCGGTAGATGGAGACACTGTGTGCCAGGTAGTTAGGTTAGAAGAGAGGGACCCCTCGAAAGTAGGTAGGATAACCATTAAGGACCTGAAGGATAGTGGGTTGGTAGATGAATGGATGAAAGCTAAGGGGGGCACATTGCTTAAGGAAGAGGTTTCCAAGAACGAAAATGTTTCCCCTAGCCATAGCCCAGCCACAAATAACTCAGATCGGGAAGTCCTTTCATTGTCTGCGTCATTATCAAAATGCGCACTTACAATAAATTACAGACGATTGCGCTGTTTCTCAGGAGCGAGGAACCCCGCGCGCGATGAGGACACATATCCTTTGTGGATAGAGCACGTTGAGGGCCAGATGGATGAGTGGGGGGATCTTGGAGACGGCGAGTGCCGAAAGCGCATTCGCGAGGCGCTGCGCCCTCCTGCGTCGAGCATCATTACTGACCTCCGTCGTGAGTTTCCCCAAGCAGACTCATATGAGTACCTCAAGGCTTTAGATTTGGCCTACGGGGATACAAACACTGATGATGAGCTGTTCGTCAGATTCCATAACACCACACAGCTCGAGGGCGAGCGACCCTCTGAGTATCTTTCTCGCCTGCAGGAGATACTGAGACAGGTAGTGAGGCGTGGAGTAATCAAGCCGGCAGACTCCAATCGGGTAAGATTGAAACGGTTTATCAGGGGCGTCTTGTATAATGAGATGCTCCTGGTCAAGTTACATCTCCGTGATAAATTAATCCACCCTCCTTCATTTCTGCAGTTATTATCCTCTGTAAGGAAGCAGGAGGTAGAAGACTCCATGAAGGCCAGCCTCACTCGGCCGAAACAAACAGTAGAACAAGGTAAGCGTGCCGCTGCACATAACTGTGTGGAGGCCCCAGTTCAAATTTCCCAAGCTTCTACCCCCTCTGAATCCACCCCTCCAAAGCAGACTCCTCCCAGGTCGCACAGCAACACATCTGAGGTCATTTGCTTCAAGTGTGGGGAGGTAGGGCATATTAGTAAAATATGCAACAGCCCAGCTGCCCCTGAAATTATCAGCAAGAAGTTGATCCAGTTCATTTCTAGGCAAGCAGGGAAACGCAAATGGACGCCAGGTAAGGAGAGACCAGGGGTCCACCTAGGTACTGCACCCCAACAAGTATGCGATGTTCCTCCAGGACTGGTTGGGGACAGTATCACCGAAAAGTGCTGGGTGGATGGGATAGAGACTACTTCCCTCATAGATAGCGGCTCTCAGGTCACACTCATTCAAAAAAGCTTATTTGCTAAGCTAAATCGAGAGTTGCATCCTATGAGGGATCTAGTGCTCTATCATGGCGGTGACGGAACTCTACCTTACTTAGGCTATGCCTATGTTAATATTGGATTTGAGAAGACCTTTAGCGGGACAGGAACCCAGTTCAGTACTCTAGCCCTAGTAGTGCCGGATGCTCAGCATCAAAGAACCCATTCAGTGGTTATAGGGACAAATTCCGGTCTTTTCCGAAATTGCTTTGAGTCCTGTAAGAGGTTAGCTGGGGTTCGATTTGCACAAACTTTGCAAATCAGTCCTGTGTGTAAGGATATCTATTCTTCTCTCTCTAAGAAACAGACACTCCCCGCCGACGGTAAACTCGGCACCATCAGAACAAGAAAGAAACATGAAATTCATATTCCACCTCATAGCAGTCATACCATAATAGGTCAATGTAGAAACACGCTCCGAGCACCAGCCACTGCGGTCATTGAGTCCCATTCCCCAACTAGGTTAGCAAAGGGCTTAGAAGTGATACCCTCGGTAGTTGAAGTCCCTGGGGAAGCCTTTTGTAAGGTCGAGGTTCTACTTGTCAATAAGAGCTCTAAGCAAATTACCATCCCTGGGAACTGCCCACTGGCTGATTTATTCATCCCAGAGTGGTGCCGCCAACCTCCCAATCAGGGCTCTACTAATGCCATCCATGCATCATCTTCTGCTACCAGCGCAGAAATGGGCACCACCATTCCACATGATATCGATGTTGCGGACCTCCCTATCAGTTGGGGCCCCATAACCCCTGAATGGAAGGAACGCCTTCTACATCAGTGTAGGCGGAGGAAAACTGTGTTCTCCAGGCATGACTTTGACCTGGGATGTTCTGCCTATGCTGAACATCAGATCAACGTCAACGACAGCACGCCATTCAGGGAGAGATCTAGGAGGGTAGCCCCTTCAGACTTGAAGGATCTGCAACAACATTTGCAGCAGCTACTTGACCACAAAGTAATCAAAGAGTCTCGAAGTCCATACGCTTCTCCAATTGTTCTTGTTCGCAAGAAAAATGGGAGTTTGAGAATGTGTGTAGACTACCGCACCCTCAATTCACGCACAATTCCTGACCAGTATGCAGTCCCTCTGATTCAGGAGGCCATTGATTGCCTTAATGGAAACAAATGGTTCTCGGTGATAGACCTGAAGTCCGGTTTTTACCAGATCCCGATGCGTGAAGAGGACAAAGAAAAGACAGCCTTCATCTGTCCTCTAGGTTTCTACCAGTTCGAGCGCATGCCCCAGGGTGTGAAAGGGGCACCGGCCACTTTCCAACGTTTGATGGAGAAGTGCATGTCAGGTTTAAACATGATGGAGGTGCTTGTGTACATGGACGACCTCATCATTTTCTCTAAAACGCTGGAAGAGATGGAGGAGCGCCTGGGTAGAGTGCTTGATCGGATGCATGAATTTGGCTTGAAGGCATCCCCTGAGAAGTGTCAATTCTGTTGTGAGTCGGTCAAGTATCTAGGTCATGTAGTCTCGGCAGAGGGAGTACAGACAGACCCAGACAAGGTAGCAGACCTCGCAACGTGGCCTAGACCAGAAACTATCAGGCAAGTAAAGTCTTTCTTAGGATTTGCAGGATACTATCGGCGATTCATCAAGGACTACTCCAAGATATCACGCCCACTTAATGTTCTCACTATTGGGTGTGTATACCCAAAGAAGAGAGGGCAGCCACCTCCAAAGAGGCAGCCTGACCCTAATGCCAGACGAGCTAATGATTCCATTAGTGACCTCTGGACAAGTGAGTGTGAGGATGCGTTCCAAACACTCAAGAAACTACTTGTTTCTGCCCCAGTGCTTGCCTTCGCAGACCTGTCACAACCCTTTGTTTTGCATGTTGATGCGAGTCGTGACGGTCTGGGTGGCGTCCTATACCAGGAGCATGAAGGGAAGCTCCGCCCAGTTGCATACGGCAGCCGAGGCTTATCAGCAAGTGAGAAGAACTACCCGGCACACAAGCTGGAGTTCTTAGCCCTTAAGTGGGCAGTTACAGACAAGTTCCGGGACTATTTGTACGGAGCTAAGGGTACACGGATTATGACAGATAATAATCCGCTTACTTATATACTAAGCTCAGCCAAACTCGATGCCACAGGCCATCGGTGGTTGGCTGCACTTTCATGCTTCGACTTCTCTATCCACTATAAGCCAGGTAAGGCAAATATTGAGGCTGACGCATTGTCACGCAAGCCTCAAAACCCTGCCTTGGATGAGGAATACGAACAGCGCCAAAAGTGGAAGCTAAGTGACCTGGAGGCACGGCTCAGGGATGATGTCGATGTAACCTGCCCTCAGGAAGCCATAAGTGCCCTGTACCAGCGGTACGACGCTGTCCCCAAGACGGAAGTAGGTACCACGCCTCAGGTCACCCATAAGCATGGACCTATGATAGAGACCCTTTGTGCTAGTGCCGAGTCCATTCCCAGTCTGTATGCAAAAGGCTCAGACCTAAACAAGGTAGACTGGTCTCAGGCACAAAAAGCAGACCAAATCGTGAACCTGGTCCGGAGTCATGTGGAGCAAGGTAAGAAGCCTTCTTCGTTGGATGGTGTACATCATGATGCTAAGCTCATGCTCCGTGAATTTGATAGGCTCGTGCTGAGGCAAGGCATCCTCTATAGGTCTTTCTTAGATTCTCTCGGGAAGACTCATTACCAGCTCGTCTTGCCCTCAAGTAGCCGGAGGCAAGCTATGAGAGGCATTCATGATGAGGTGGGTCATCTCGGCATCGAGAGATCGATAGCCTTTGCTAGAGACAGGTTCTACTGGCCCAAGATGAGTGCCGAAATAACAGAGTGGGTGAAGCACTGTCCCCGTTGCGTGGCAAGAAAATCACATCAGCACCCATCAGCACCACTGGTTAGTATCAAGACGACGAGTCCGTTGGAGCTGGTCTGCATGGACTTTCTGTCCTTAGAGCCAGACCGCTCTAACAAAAAGTCAATACTAGTGGTAACTGACCACTACACTCGCTATGCGCAAGCTTTCCCAACAAAAGACCAAACCGCTAAGACTGTGGCTAAGGTCTTATGGGAGAACTTTTTCGTACATTATGGCCTGCCTCAACGCCTTCACTCCGATCAAGGCAGAGACTTTGAGAGCAAAGTCATATATGAACTGACCAGGCTCCTTGGAGTCCAAAAGTCAAGGACCACCCCATATCATCCTCAAGGTGACCCCCAACCTGAAAGGTTCAACCGAACTTTACTAAGTATGCTAGGGACCCTTGAGGAAGAGAAGAAACAAAACTGGAGCAAGTACGTAAGTGCATTAGTGCATGCGTACAATTGCTCAAAGCATGATAGCACTGGTTTTTCCCCATACCTGTTGATGTTTGGTAGGGAAGCTAGACTGCCTGTTGATTTGCGCTTTGGCACGAGTCCGGACAACCATAGTGGCACGGATCACGTTCAGTATGTCCAGGGACTTCGTGAACAACTCACCCGTGCTTACAAGCTTGCATCTGAGGCGTCAGACAAGTCAGCCGAGGCCAACAAGAGAAGGTATGATGCTAAGGTGCGAGAAAATGATCTCCAGACAGGAGACAGAGTGCTTGTGAGAAATGTCGGTCTGACTGGCAAGCATAAGCTAGCCGACAAGTGGTTTCGAGAGCCACAAATTGTTGTACGGCGTATCAACCCAGACATGCCTGTTTATAAGGTAAAGCCGGAGAATGGAGAAGGTCGAGAACGTACCCTCCATAGAAATCTCCTCCTGCCAATAGAGTATTTTAATGAGACCGTTTCCCCTAATGTGGAAAGAGTCCGTAAAGGTCCATCACATCGGACTAGATCCAAACAGGTTCTAGCCGCCGAACCGAGTCACTCAAGTGATGAACCTGCCTCGGATGATGAGGGTGTCGCTCTGCTTTTCCCAGAGATGCCAATGTCCCAAGTCAATACCCTACCTGCCCCTGGCCTCCGTGTGGATGCCCCTGAGTTTGTCCCAGATAGGGTAAGGCCCATTCCTGAGATCCCATCCCCAATTATAGTGGAAGATGGAAGTGATGAAGGAAGTATCCGAGATGGCAGTCCAGCACTAAGTATGATTGAACCTATGTCCCTAGAAAGTGATGAAGAAGTATTATTTCCCTTGAATGAATTTCCTGAACTGATAGAGCCCCAACAAAGGACCGAGGAAGTAGGTTATGGGGACCAGATTCTGAGGAGGGAGAATATGGATAGCGAAGAGATGGGTGCTGACCCCGTCGACCAAATGGGTAATATATCTCTTGAGAATCCCTTTGTGTCTATCGATGTACCTGGTGTCTTACCAGGCACCGAACCTAGTGCTACAGACGCAGATTCTGAGCCGCAATCCATCCGACGCTCAACTCGCTCTTCCAAGCCGCCGCAGCGCATGGTATATCATGATTTGGGCGATCCTACGACACGATCGGCTACCTCCTCTGGGTTATTTGCTAGGTTAAGGCTGAAGATTTTTGGATTTTAATTGGACTAACTTTTACCTTTTAGTTATGTTCCCGGAGAGAACAGGGTTTGAGGAGGGAGGATGTAACCCCCATAAAAATGGCAGTTACTAAAGTCATATTTTGTTATTTATTCTTTTTCCTATCTCTATCTCTCTCTCTCTCTCTCTTTCTCTCTCTTGTCTCTCTCTCTCTCTCTCACTCTTTGTATCCATTCATTTCATCTCATACTTCTAAGAAACAAACTCTGCTTTGTGCTCCTTATGCAGTTTAGTGCAATATAGGTTTGTTCTCACCCAGATTATTTTCTTCTCCCAGTTTAAGAACTATTGCTGGTAGATAGCTTATTTGCTAGAGCTTTGACCATCAATAAAACTGGACACAGTGTTTGGGATTATATTGTCTCCCACAGAATTCGGTGCCCTTTCCCCTTTGTCTATTCCCTTTAATAGGACCCTCTTTACTTAAGTGGTGTTTGCAGGTAGATTGTGTCCCTTCAGGATGTTGCTACTGTTAATCTCTGTATTCAGGAGAAGTATAGTTTTAAGTGGTTGTACTAAGAAAAGACGAGCTTTTAGACCATGCTGTAGAGAGCTGGCTTGGAGTATTGGGTTTGAGACAAAGGATGGGTCATTTTAGTTAAGGATGCAAGCTTGGTCCTATCACATGATGTTAGGTAACCAATAAGAAGTCTAGTTGGAAGGAAGGGTAATGTGGGTCTGGAGAGTTTAATAAAACTTTGAAACTTTAAGTTTCCAGCTCATTCTCTGCCCAGCTGCCATTGCTTCGAACACTGCCCTGTATATATTCAATCTCCATGTTGGAGCATGTGCTACTAAATATATCTGTAGCCTCTACCTGATTTTCTTCTTCAATATATATATATATACAAAACGTATATATCAACTTTACCTTCTTCAAGTTTCTCTAAGTTTCGAGAGAGTTTCCTGTATTATATTTGATTGGGCATTCCATCCAACTTCAACCTTTATGAGTTGCATGGTTATCATCCCAGTTCCTGATTTTATGTTGCAAGCAAGTGTTGGCTCTTTTACTAGGTAAGAACACTATATTTTGCTATGTATGTTTTCATTACTCTGTTGTATGAAGTGTGTGTATATCATGATGATATCTATATTTTGCTTGTATGACTCTGAGTGTAGTTTGAGACTGTAGCATACATTCTATAACTTTTTAATTCAGATGTGTGTTATACAAGATTGATTCTTTCTGCTGATCAAACAATTCAGTTAAATGAGAAGAAAAGATTATTATGGGAGATCATTTTGCAGTTATTATACTGCATAGCATGCGAGCCCTAAAATAGCCCATGCTGAAAGATAATTGGCTTTTATTTAGGGTAATGGCAACTCGTGCTAGAGGTCATTGAACTCTCACTAAATTTGGTGGTTTGAGATACTTGGTTGTAGATAAGATTTACTAACCTTATCTACTGATTTACTGGTAATGTGTATTTGCTGTTCATTATGGTTATGCGCAGCGTGGAGCATTATTATGCATATTCAATTGCTGGACTTTTCCATTAATTGTAAAAGTCAAATGTTATTTTGGCAAATTCTAAATCAAGCGATATGGTCAGGTCAATCAGATAGATCGAGCTATCTATCTGTGGCATCCCTATCGCATTCATTATAGCTCATAATGATATGAATGAAAACTCTACTGAACAGTTGGTGCATTATTGTGTATACGTATTTTATTTATATTTACTAACGTGGTATAAGTACTATTTTGAAAAGGATTGTATCATGTTAATCATGAATTAAACTAAGTTATAAGTATAACTGAGTAAATTAAGTTGACAGAATCGCATTGATTCTTCCAAAGTTAATTAGATAAATCAAGAGGCAAACTCTCATTCTTTTCTTAGTTTAATCTATTGAGGGACGAGCTTGTTATATATATATATATATATTTATTTATCTTTCCCTCTCTTAAGGAATGTTTTATTAGAAGAGTTCTGTTTATTATGCTCTTTTACTAGGGTCTTTTAATTGATGAATCTCATCGAGCTTCAAGCTATCGTTCGACCTGTTCTTGTTTTCTGCGTGCTGCGACGTCCTCTTCGACGACACAGAGACGCCGGATATTGATCGACCGCGTATCGCGAGCGAGCTTATGAACATTTAATAATTTGGACATAACAGCTGTTCTAGTTATAAGTTATAATACCTTATAATGTTATAGATGTAAGATGTGGAAGTTTTGTTTATTTCAATGTTTACTTGATTTGCAGTTGTTATTGACAACGAGCTAATAAAGGCATTGCCAGGTTATTTTGTTAAAACGTAACCTCAAGTGTGATTTCTTTATTTATGGACCTGGGAAATTGTGACATTCGGGTTACACATGTTTATCAAATTTCTCGTAAGAGACTTGTAGCTCATATCATAAATGTTTTATCATGAACCCTTTTTATACTCATTTTGACAAATCATATTTGTATGAACAACTCTCGTTAAGAACATCTATCTGGTTTATCAACTCTTTAAATTGACAAGTAATCTGTATATTTACTTGTGTACATATATTTGTATCTTTCGCACGGTATTTATTATTCTGTGCTATTTTATACTTTTTATGTTCACAATTTTCACGGCACTGTTCATCACTGTTACTTTGTTTTGACAATCGTTAAGTCAAATAAAGACATTCGTCACCAGAAAATGAACATCCGTTTCAACGTTGAGTTATTTTGATCCTGCGGCAGCAACAATGTATACAAGCAGTACCATGATCAGGGGCGTCAATCCTGGGGGGGGGGACGGGGGGACACGTCCTCCCTCCCCCACGAATTTTCAGGTGGTGAAATGTACCCCCCATGTTTTGTCAGAAAAGAAGTTCATTAATAATTTAATGTAACGCCAAAGCTTCCGCGCGGGAGGGTGGGGGGGGGGGGAACTGAATTCAAACAAGGATTAAGAGTCGAGAACCAGTATACAACGAATCGTCTTCTTTCTCTAAAAATGTAATGAAACGTCAAAGATTTAAAAAAAAGGCAATGAATGAACCGGTCACCAATGAAAGTACATGCCATGAAACAGAATAACTAGAGAGTGTGTGTGTAGCAACATAACGTGGTATAATTTTGAATTTAACTGTAGAGGTGAAATGTAATTGTGTCCCCCCCCCCCCCCCCCCCGCTCTAACTCGGATTGACGCCCTTGATCATGATGCTATAAATGTGTACAGTCCCAGACTATTTATACCGCAATAGTGATCGACGATCAACTCTTTGCAAAGCGCGCGCTTCTCTGGAATGTGATGGTGCGGTTAGCATTTGATACATGGGCGGCTTTCTGCTTTGTATGAAGGTATCAAAGTATAAAGCCTACAAAAAAGTGAAATTGTTGGAAATATGCATTTGTAGAAAATTACATTTCATAGTAGTCATTGCCACATTTAAAATGTCCATCAATCTTCAGAAGGGAAGGTGAAGTGGGGGCGGAGGACTCACAGCGTGATATCTTATCTTCTTTTTTTTGGGGGGGGGCTGTGATGACTTTTCTTTTTATTTAATGATTACACCATCGAGCCACAACTCGGCCTATAATTATTCATGGCCAAACTAATCGATTTTAGACATTCTTTTTTCCCGGAAGTTTGCTCAGTGTACCAGTATCACTTGCTTAGACAAAGGCATATGAGGAGGAGGCAGCCGGGTCACTACGAAGGATGCATCCCCTCCCCCGTCTCCCCTCGGTAATATTTGGGCAAAAGGTCCCAATTTCGGGCAGAAAGGTAAATAAAAGTTACAGAAAGAAGAAAATAAAGCAGCGCTGAAATTAATGAAATTTTTACCTCTGACATTTTTTCCTACGTCATTTTTACCTCTGACATTTTTACCTCTGACATTTTTACATCTGACATTTTTACCTCTGACATTTTTTCCTCTGACATTTTTACTTCTGACATTTTTACCTCTGACATTTTTACATCTGAATTTTTTTCCTCTGACATTTTTACCTCCGACATTTTTACCTCTGACATTTTTACCTCTCACATTTTTACCTCTGACATTTTTACCTCTGACATTTTTACCTCTGACATTTTTTCCTCTGACATTTTTACACCGAGCCGGCCTAGACCCCATTAGACTTTAATGGGTCCCCAATTGGTTTCAATTGGACCAATTGGCCTTAATTTGGACTTCAATTGGTCCCGTTGAAACCAATTGAAATTCCATTAAAGTCTAATAGGGCCAATTGAAATCAATAGAAACCAATAGGACCAATGCTAAATAGAAACCAAATGGATCAATAGAAACCATTAGGACCAATAAGACCAATAAAAAACAATAGGACCAATAGAAACCAACAGAAACCAATAGAAACCAACAAATCTAGGCATCTCATGAATATTCATTATCACTTTACACGTGTCACAGAAAAATAAATTTATCATGATTTTGTTAAGCAAATTATGACAATGCACATCAATTTTGTGATTTCTTTATTCCTTCAGCAATTATTAACCAATAGATTATTTTGTCTGATCATGTTACAATTACATTCACGTTTTAGCAATAGATATATTGATTACTATAACCAAGAAACATGATTACTAACCAAGAAACAATATACATATTTAGTATATATACTTGTACGAGCCAATGTCACTGTACATTTAACTTTTGAATTCACTTCAAATGATCTCTGTGATGAAGTTAATGCAAATGAGATTGGAATATACCTTGGTGGACAGTTGCCAATATCGATTATGAAGTATCAATAATTTATCACTGGTTCTTCTAACTGGATCGATTTACCAATTGAATCCCCATTGAATGCCCCCATTGAATCCCAATTCAATACCAATTGGCAATTAATTTGGAGTACATGGAAAGTGAAACAATGGGTACCCATTGAAACCAATTGGCAATCAATGGGGATTCAATTGGATTTTCGTCTTGGGACTCTGTCTCTTTCCCCCCTTCTGTCTCCCTCCCCTACTCTCTCTAACCCACCCTCGATCCCTCTCTCGACAGCTCGACCCCTCTGTCTTCCTAACCTACACCCGTCTCTCCCCCTCACACAATCTGTCTCTTTCCTTCAAGGGGCACGTTCCCGCCAGTGTAGTTATCGCTGCTCTAGTCATCGCCATCTTGGTTCCGAAGATCGACTTCTAATTTGTATACAGCTGTCAATCAAAGTACGCGCGTCCTGGCCTGCCTTCGCCAAGACAGCTGCCGATCGCGACGTCACGAATGTGGGCGGAAACAGCAGCCGAATCTTACAGCCGAACCGCGATTGGTATTACTTCGGCACATGTATGCGATAATCGGCATTGTGCGGGCATTCGGAACATGCCATCTGCGTAAGAGCCGTATTCTGTTGGTGTCAATATGCAGCTAGCACCGTCCGCCAGCGGGTACGTATTTTGAACGCCCTCTGGAATACCGCCGGGGAACATGCCCCTTTAAACCAACTTCTCTCTCCCCCTAACCCGTGCACCCTCTCTCTCTCTCTCTCCCTAACTCACCCTCTCTCTCGATCCCTGTCTCCAAAACCCACTCCTTTCGCGCTCTCCCTCTTTCTCCTTAACCGACCCCCCTCTCTCTCTCTCTCTCTCTCTCTCTCGATGCCTGTCTCTCTCTCCCTAATTAACACACTCCTTTCTCTCTCTCCCTTACCCACCCCTCTCTCTGTCTCTTTCCCTAACTCATCCCTCTCTCTCTCTCTCTCTCTCTCTCTCTTTCTCTCGATCCGTCTGTCTCTCAACCCAACTCAATAACATTTGTACAAAGTATAAAAATAAAGGATATATATTTTATAAAACAGAAAAGGATCAATGAAATACTTTGTTACAAAGTTCAAGATGCATTTCTGAAGGTTTTAAGGAATCAAAATTAATAGAAAATTTACACTGACTTTCAATACGAATAATAGACCTAAACAGGATTACTTTACAGTAAAACAATCCCCAAAACATGTTTTGATCTTGACGCAAGGGGTTCCATGTGGCTAAACTCTCTTCAAATAATTATGAGCTTCCAAAATTAATATTACAACATAAATGCTTTCTCAGTGAACAGTAAAATGTCTTGTTGAGGAGACTACCAATACTTGTTTTTTTCAGGCGTGGTTTTGTTAGTTTCAGTATTGTTAATTTCTTTAAATAATTGATAATAAATATTGTATGATTCAAATAGTGTTATTTAAAAAAAGATATGTTTAATTCAATATTTCACATGTATGTACAATTTGTTATTATTTCATTACAGTCTATACTTATGTTTATATTAAGGATATATTGACTGCTTTGAGAGGCATAGTGGTTTCTATAGGGTCAAGGGAAACTCACAACCTGCTATGACCCCCAGGCGCTAGCAGGTTGTGAGTTTCCCGAGACCCTATAGAAACAACTATGCCTCGAATATTAAAAGCAGTCAATATATATTTTATATACCGAAAAAAAGGAAAATGTTGACTCACCCATTTAGGTTTCCATCTCTTTGAAGTGCGTGGATTGGTAGATTCGTCGCCTGAATGCAGCGACCAAAATCGAATTGCACTCAAACACCGTTAAAGGTATTGCGCATCGGTCATCGCACAAAAGAAACTTATACGGTAACACGTAAACCAAAATGGGGATCGCAGCAAAATGACGTCACGTTTCACAGCCATGGAAAAAGTGCTATGAAAAATGGATATAAACCGGTAGAGCCGACGTGCTTGAGAGCATTTCTAGACCCTCCAATTAATGCGTGATGTCACGCCTAATGCGTGACACTTGGTAGCTCTGTAACACCCTTAACAGGTTTTACTCCAAAACAAGTATTGCAAAATTGTAACCCCTCGAGTGAGCATTTTCAAGTGCGATAGGGATTACCATTTAAGTTGTTGACAATGTAAAATAAATCAAACTGCACTTTTTATGTAAAATTCACAATATGAAAATGTATTTCAATAGAGAAGCAATAACATCAACCTGTACAGGTTTAATGCACAGCCATCAGCCCATAAGTCCTTTCTTTGAAAAAAAGAAGTACATTTCAAATTTGATCTATATATATAAATAGGTACATGTAGGGTTTACAAAAAGTACACAATATACAATGAACAGCTACTATTTTACTATTCAAAACAAAATATAAATTTATAGCCCGGTAATACCTGAGGAACACATGTACAAATTTACCGGTAGGCAAGCGGCAAGTCGGAGTCGGGGTCTAGAAAAATAGCCCTAAACGTGTACAGCAGGATTTTGAAAAAAAATACTCTTTTTCTTCAAAATAGACATTTTAAACCCCTTAACGCGGCACCACCCCAGACCCCATGACTTATACAAGC